CAGAGTGAAGGCCGAGCAGCTGGGTCACATCCGGGCCCCCTCGTCTGCTACTCAATGCACAGCTCCCAGGAGCCCCTGAGGCCCCTCTCACTGGCTGGAGCTGCTAAGAAAAAGCCGTGGCCTGCCCATGACGCTCTCTTCCCGGGGCTTCCTCCTGGAGGCCAACTGGGCGGCAGGAAAGAGGCGCAGCGAATGGAAAAAAGAGCTGGAGGAGACTTGGGTTGCAGAGGGAAAAAATGTAATATGGAAAAAGAGGGCATGCGGGGGGCGGTATTTGTAAATGTGCTTTACAGGTAAATGACTTCTGCATGAAAGTCTGGAATTTCACCTCCTCCCTCCACCCTCAACACCCCAGAATCTAGACTTCTCGGCGTCAGTGCAGGAGGGGCCCTGGGAAATAGATGTCTGAAGGAGGCCAGCTCCCTGCCAAGGCGCGGGGGAGCCCAAGCCCTGAGGGGACGCAGAGGCCACGACCCCGGCCCTCCCTGAGGGCTGCAGATACGCCCCCGCTCTCCTACAAGTAATGGGTTAGGCAACTGGGCCATTTCAGACGGCGTTTGGCCTCAAAGGCCCAGGGCGGCTTCTGGGCAGTGCCCTCTGAGGCTTCTGTGGAGACCCCCGGTCTCCCAAGAGCCCTCAACCCAAACAGACCCCAGGCCAGAGTCACGTATTTCTGTGATTCCCAGGACCCCCCTCTCCTGCCCCGCCTCCCGTACCAAAGGAAGGGGCCAGAGGAACGTTGTGAACCCTCCTGCGGGGCCTGAGCTGCAGCCTGGGAGCCAGTCTCGGGGGACAGACACGATCCCCATGTGCACACAACACAATGCGGGCTTGGAAAGGACCCCTTGAGGGTCAGAGAACCCGCCCCTACCCTAACCCACTGTCCCTTGCCACCAATACCCGTGAGCCTCACTGCTGCCACCCCTTGAGCCACTGCCAGCACCTCCTCCTGCCCCCCACGCGTGGCCAGAGCCAATTCCTTTCATCGGTTACTGGAGGGCACAGTGTGACTCAAGAGACAGGAGCCGCACAGGCCCCTCGCCCCAGCTCTGAGTCCAGCAGGTCGCCTCCTGGCTGCTCCCCTTCCTGGGCCCTCCCGGCCCGTCCTTTCTCACTTTCTTGTCCACCCCAGACCCAGAGCCCCCGAGTGCTCGCCTGACCTTCACCCCTGCCCCATCTGGGGAAGGGGCTGTGGAGACCCAGAGGGGACACTGCCAGGCCATTCTCGTCAGCACGCGCTGACGGACTGACGGGCTCCCGGGAGACAGACTCACGCACAGGGGCTTAGCGGGTCCTGCCACAGGGCCCTCGGCTGAGCCCCCACCCCCAAATGATGGCGTCCACGGAGCAGACGTGCTCCCGAGGCAAGCCCAGGGTTTGCTGGGGGTTCTTGTTTTGTTTTGGTTTTTTCCTTTCTGTGTAAACCAGGCGCTGCCCGGTGGAAGCGGTTTCAGACAGCAGGCCTTCGCCCCAGCAAGCTCTCTGGGGAACTGACCTGGCGTCAGAAAGTGCTGTTCTGAGCCAACAATTATGGGGGCAGATGGGGAGGGGGGGACAGACTGAGCATGGCAGGCGTGTCTGCAGAGGGGGCCAAGGCCAGGGACCACCAGCGACAGCCACCACTGGCCTCAGAGGCCAGCTCGCCTGGCCGGGCCAGGGCATGGCTACAGGGATCTCCCTTACCATCGGCACCCCAGTTTCCTGCTGCCTCTCGAAATGGGAAATGAGCCTGCTCCCCATGGGGAAAGCCTCACCAGGGCCTCTGAAAGTGGCCTTGGGTCCCTCTGGCATGCAAAGCCCCTGGGATGTATGTGAGCTGCCGATTCTTGTGTCTCCACGATAGTCTGGGAATGATTCCCATAGGGCCACCCAGCCTTCCATTTTCCAGCCTCTTCTCCAGCCCTCCTGCTTCCCCACCCCCACTTTCTCAGTCCTGTCATCTCCGTGCCCTGGCACCCAGCTGGGGCAAGTGATGTGAGAACACTCACCAAATACAGGTGTGTGTGTGGGTGGGGTGGGGGGCAGAGAGACAGAGACAGAGAGAGGAGGTCGCCTGGCTTCATGCCCAGTCCCGAAATGGGCCATGGAAGGTCTCTGTGCCTCAGCTTCCCTCGAGAAAAATGAGCAGACACCAGTCCTGCCCGTCCCCTGGCCGTGACACTCATATGTGTGCCCATGCCCACGTCCCCCTCCTGAAGACGCCTATCGGAAATGCCCACAGTGTGGAATCCAGACAAAGCTTTCAGGACGTTCTTCCCACAATCTTTCCACAATCTTTTAAATTAAGCCATGATACAAAATGAAAAGTAAAAACGGTGATAATTTTTCCAAGTCAGGGAATCAGGCTTTGGGGCCTCCAGCAGCAGCCTTAGAGTGCGGTGTTCAGCAGCAAGTCACTTTCTGTGGGCAGATGCCACATGCCCCATGCATACAGACTGGCAGCGATTTTATACCCCCCCAACCTGCTTCTCCCCTCACCGCCAGGGCCCTGGAGGAAGGCCTGTGCTCCAGACTCAACGGCCACTTCTGCCAGCGCTGCCTCGGCCAGACGCCAGTGGCTTGTGGCCATGCAGCAGGTGCGCCACTGCTGCCTCCCTCCACATAGGTGACAACTTGAGGCCTCTGGAGGCTGCGTGACATGCTCGGCTTTGCACAAGCAGATGATGGCTGGGCTGGCTGTGAACCTGGTCTGCCGAGCACCCCTACTGCCCATCTTGTATCCCCTTCATGAGTCCCCTGCCACCTCCCTGACCCTCAGCAACTAGGATGCCAACCTCTCCTGAGCGCCATTCCTAGGTGGGCGGGTCCCCCCAGGGGCACTGCGTTGGTCCTGCCATCAGCCGTGTCCTTGGCATGGAGTTCATGGATGGAGCCCCACCCTAGGTCCCAAAGGCCTAGGGGCCACATGGGCTGCTGCCCAGCTGGGGCTGTCCCCTGCCACAAGGGCCTGGCAGTGGGGCAGCCATGAGGCTCAACAAGGCGAAAGCATAGGAGCTGGCACCTTATGGGCTGGGGTTTGAAGCAAGATCCAGATCAAAGAGTTGAGTCACTGGTGGAGGAGGGTGAGGAAGGGAGGAGGTGGGCTTCCAGCTTCCAGAGGGCACCGAGCGGGACGTGGGCCCTTTTCTTGCCATTTATGTGACTGAGGAGAGCTTGGGGGCTGGTGCCCTGGATCTCTGCCTGTTAGATCTCATGACACTCCAGGGGCGCAGGCAGAGAAGTGGGGCTGTCCCTGGGCCACTGCCCTGAGGCAGAGAGAAGAACATGGAATATGGACTCTGAGAAGGAAGCGAGATCACAATTGTGATTCAAGTAATAGCTCCTTACTGAGTAGCCTGTCTCCCCAACAAGCCTGTCACTCCTTGGGGCAAGGTCCAAATGTGGTTTTCCTCCAGGACCCTACTTCCCGGCTCTGGGTGGCACATAGAAGATTTTAGGAAGAACTGACTTTAGTCTTTCATGAATAAGGAGGAGGCAAGACTTGAACATCCTCAAAGGAGGTTCAGGCTTTGACCTGGCCACTACTGGGTTCTTCCTTCTATTTCCGAGGCTCCCTCCTACAGGAAGCCTTCCTGGATACTCCCAGCCTGGGTTACTCCCCTGCTCCAGGCTTTCACAGCCCCTTCTGCTTATGCAGTCAAAGCCTCAGGGGCCCCATGTGGTCATGGGTCACCTCTGTCACTGATGTGTAAGTGTCCAGAAGGAGGAAATGAACAGAACCAGGAAATGCCCTGGTGTGTGCTTGCCTTGCCCTGGGTGCCCTCCATCAGCTCCTGTGGCTGAGTCTAGACCCTCAGCCAGGTCCAGCCTCTAAAGGTCAGGCCCAGGAAGCGCAAGGCTGGGCTGGATATGGACAGGAGCAGGTGCTCAGGCAGGTGAGCTGGCCTGGGGTGATGAGGAGAACAGCACCAGCACCCAGGCCAGCAGGCTAGCTGGCCCATGTCTGTGCATCTGCACCATGGCCAGGGCCTCTGACCTGCCCTGGAGTTGCCAGAGGAGGCAGCAGGAACCTGGAGCCCCTCCCCAGGGTCCAGGCTGTGAGCCTGTGGGGCCCTGCTCCTTGCCATCACCCAATCACCACTTTCAGGGTTCCCAGACGGTGGACTTGAGATGTGGCTGCACAGCCTTCCAGAATGTCAAGGCTAAGCTCAAACAGCTCAGTGAGAACACAATTCCAACCACAGCGCAAATGTCCCGAAGCCAGGGCACACCCACCACGGACCTCCTCTGCTCCCCAGCAGCCCCGGGTGGGAGGCAGAAAGGTGTGTCACCCCTTTGGACCCACAGAGCAGCCCAGGGGCCCCTAGCTCGGAAGTAGCAGAGTGGACAGGAGGAGCCGAGCTTTCCGTCCCTCTAAGTGGAGGCACCATTGTGCCTTTCCAAAGAGGACAAGGCTCTTGGCTCCCCGTCCGTGTCAGAACAATCCAGCCACAGAGCCTGCTCGCTGCAGATCCCGTGGATAACACCCAGTGACACTTGATTCGGCGCCTTCTGTCTGAGCAGTTACCTTCCCGGTGGGTGGCCCTCCCCGCCTGCAGGTCACCCTACTGTGCCCAGCATATGCTCCCCACAAGCAAGGTGTGGAGCCCATGCGCAGACGCCAGGGAGAGCCAGCCTCTGGGTCTCAGTTTTCTTACCTATAAAACGGACACGGGGTGAACTTGCTGCACTGACACCCCCTGACTCTTATGGCTCCGCATCAACTCTCACCCGCGCCTGGGGCCATGTACTTGCAATCAAACCATCTCTTCCAGAGAGAAGACAGAGGGGCCAGGCCGGAGTTCTCCGCCTGTTAGTCTCCCTGTGCGCCAGAAGCCCAAGAGCACCGCCTGGGCGTGGGGGGAGCCCACGAGGGATGCTTGGGGCTGGTGAGGAGTGCGAATGGGGAAACTAAGGCCCGGAGAGGTCCCTGTCACGGAGTCGGGCAGGGCTCAGGTGCCCCCCCACCCCCACTGCCTCTACACCGGACCGCGCCGACGGCGGCCACTGGACAGCCCTACCTGGCACAGGTGGCCGGCTCGCGGGGCGGGCGCGGGGCGCGGGGCGCGGGCTCCGTCGGGTGGGCAGCGCCCAGCCGGGCCGGGCCGAGGAGGCGGGCGGGCCGGACGGCGGGCGCGGGGCGCGGCGGGGAGCGCGCAGGGCGGCCGAGGAGGCTCGGACTGGGCTCCGCCCGCAGGAGAACAAACAGGTTTTCTCCGGCGCCCGGAGCCTCGCCCCTCGCCCCTCCCCTCGGCCGGCCCCTTCCTCTGCCCTCTCCTGGGGTAGGTAGATGCGCCTGGCACATTCCGCACATTCTCCCGCCAGTGTCCGCGGCCCGCCCGCCCCCTCCCGGCCCCGCCCCGCGGGGCTGCTGGAGAAATCAAGGCCGGTCTCCCCGCGCCGAGCCCAGAGCGAGCTCCCGCAGGCTGCGCCGCCGTGGAAGGCGTCCAGGCGCATTCCTCCGGGCTCGCGGCCCCGGCCCCGGCTCCGCCACGTGAAGGGCCTCGGCCGCCTCGTCGCGCCCCGGCCCGCGCTCTGCCCCTGCCCCGGCCAATGACTTCCACAGCTGCGCCGCTAATTCTGTGGCGAACTACAGTTCCTAGATCCATTTTACAGACGGAGCTCCCAGACAGGGGCGGGAGGGGGCTGGCGGCTGAGATCATGCAGGAAGTTCCGAGGCTGGGAAGAGGGCGAGAAAAGTGAGGGAGCCCACTCCCCTTTGGCGCTGGGCAGCGCTCACCCCGGAAGGCCATCCTGGGGGGTTCCCAAGGCACAGCAGCCACTCAGCCTGCCACCTTACAGAGCGCTTTGCTGTGCTGTTCACTCTTGCCTTTCCAGCCCTTGTGTCACTCACTCACTCACTCACTCACTCACTCACTCACTCACTCACTCACTCACTCACTCAGGCTTCCTAGGCCTCCAGCCAAGCCTCCAAGCCCGCTCCCTGCAGGGCCAGAGAAGGTCACCTGCAAGGGGAACAGTTAAGGCGGTCCAAGAGATGGCCTATCAGGCTGGCGGGATCAAAAGTCCTGCCAAGTCTCTGTCCTAAATGGTCCTCCCGTCCATCCACTCCCCTCTAAGGCCCTCATCGCCACCGCCCTGGGCGCCTGTCTCCCCAGAAGGAAGTCGCTGGACCAGTTTGCAGGTGCTTTCACACTGCAGCCACCCCACCTGCAGTTCTTTGCTGGTTTCCCAGCAGTTCTCAGGCCCAGGCCCAGGATGAGGCTGCAGCCCCCCCACTCTCTGTAGGGCCTACCCCTCCTCCCCTTGATCACAAACTCCCAGCCACTGTGGCTTCCTGCCTTCCCAAGTCCTCCCTGTTTGGGACCTTTGCTCCTGGTGCTGACTCTCCAGAATGTCCTTTGCTCTTCCTTTGGCCAGTGAACTCTCACCCATCCTTCAAATGCTACTCAGTGGTCATGACTCCTCCTGAAGGCACAGGCCACTGTGGCCTTGACCCCTTCCTTCTGTGTCCTCTCCCACTGCCCCCTTGACTTCCAGCTTGCTTAATGGCACCTGCACTGCGCTAGCTGGCGGGCTGGTCAGGGCTGAGCCACCCTGTGGCACAGAGACCTAGGGGGGTCGGAGGGGCCTGAGGCTTGGTGGACGCTCTGGAAGCTGTTCCTTTCCTTCCTGGGCCTTGTCAGGGAAAGACGAGCTGATACTTTGTGTGGCTGTGTGACATGGAGGGGCTGAGGGAGCTGTATATAAAATCATGTCAGCCCATCTCTGTCTTGCCAATAAGTGTTTTGCTGCTGCCAGTCTGGTAGCCAGTGGTGAGCCTTCCATGCCCACACCCCCAGCTGCTGACAGCCAGCGATTTGGCCCAGTTTCCTAGCTCCTAAACATACTCACTACATTCCCTAGGGAGTGTCATACCCCCTCTCACTCCCCAGTACCTCAGAGCCCCTGAGCTTAAAGAGGCTGAAGGGAGAGCATGCCATCATAGGTCAGATGCACGGCTGAGGAAGGGGTATGTCTTCCCTCTCAACATGGCTGTGGGGAAAGGCCTGCTCGCTGCAGAGCACGAAGCAGGGGTGGGCCAGAGGGAGAGATGAATAGGAATAGAGCCCAAAGCCACCAGAAGCCAGTCAGCGAGTGCTGCCCTGGGCTGGGTTGCCCCAGGGCCTGAGCTCTTCCCATGTCCCAAGTGATTCAGCCCCTGCCCGGCCAGATCCGCCACGACAGCGCCAGCCAAAGCGCCCAGCCTTCCTAGACTCCTCCCTCCTGCCAGGCTGCCAGGCCCTGCAGCGGATCTCGTCTACAAACGGGTTTGACTCGAATGGTCACTGCCCTGCCCTACCCTGCCCGGCCCTGCCCACCTGTTCACTGTCCTGATAGAATCCCCCCACCCCCTGCCAGGCCGCTCCAGCCGCCTTAGTCAGGCTGCACAGTCCCTGCTGACTCCATCAGTCTACTCCCTGACGCCTTGCCCTAAGGCACCTGGACTCAGCTGCCCCGAGTACACCCCGCCCACCAGACCCCTTCCCCGGGGGACCCCCTTGGTCTGGAGTGGCATTTCCTGCCCAACACACCAGCTGACCTCCCACTCGCTCTAGGCCCCAACATCGGTGCCTCCAACCACTTCCCATTGGACCTGAGCTCGGGCCTCTCCTCCTGAAGTCCCCTGGCTTGGCCTGTGTCTCCACCAGAAGAGGGCCTGGGTAGGGAATTATGCTGCCTGTGCATGGTGTGGAAGGCAGAGCACAAGCAGGCAATGGAGACCCGTTCTCTGGGAGGCCGGGCCGAAGCAAGGGGGCGGGGCGGGGGGGTCCCTCTGAAGTTCCAAGGGAGCCCCATGCTGATCTCTGGGCTGGGGGCAGAACACGAGCTGGCTTAGCTGAAGTGCTCCCAGGTTAGGGAGGCGGCCATGGGTTGGGCCCTGAAAGCTCTCAGGCCCCAAGTCTGACCCAGGCAGAATGTCCCCACCCCAGAGGGGATTGGAGGCCACCCAGTGACCCGAACCGTATTGTACACTTGGGGAGACAGAGGCCAAGAGGTAGGACCCCACCCAGCTGGGGTGCTCAGGTTCACACGCAGAAGGGCTGGGCTCCTATTTGCACCCTAATCCCCTCCCCCCTCCCTCCTTCCAGGGCCCGCCCTGCCGCCTCATCCTAAGCTCTTCGACCAGTTTCCACTTGCTGGGTGACTTCGCTGGCTCCTAGCAGGGTGCATCCCCTGGGGCTGGGGTCTGCAGGCGTGTCGGCACCCACTGGGGCTGCGGGGTTCCCACCTTCAGGCCTAGGTCTCTGAGTCTGTAACCCGCTCTCCAGGTTGCTGGGAGCTGGTTTGAATGCTCAACAGAGGGAGTGAGACCCCACCCACCAGGTCTTGCCTTTGGGCAGCCCTGCTCCACGCCCTCAGCCTGTACTGGGCTTACATGTACTCCCACTCACCAAATGCCCCCTTTGGGTCTTCTTCCCCTGCGGCACTGCCAGCCCACCCAGTCCTGGCTTGGAGCTGCCCCAGTGTGGTGCAGAAGATAGACCAGCCCAGCTCCACAGGGCAAATCTGTGCCAGGGGCTTTTTGCTTTGCGGTCAGTGGCCGCGTGGGAGCAGGAGGTTGTGTGCCGGCCTGCGCCTGTGTTCTGGGTTCCCCACCGCCTTTTGATCCCTCTGCTTTGTTTTGTTTTTTTTTTTAAGATATATTTATTTATGCATACAAGAACTGGGGTACAGGCCAGAGATGCGGGGGGTGAGAGCCAGAGTGGGGAGCAGAACAAGCAGACTGACCGAAGTACACTGCTGAGGGGAGCAGCGGGCAAGTCAGGAGAGGGCTGCTGCGCCATGTGGGTAGCTCCCTGGCTGACCAGGGATCGAACGCATGCTGTGGAGGTGGTGGAAAGCTTCATAGGTTGTGTCTGAACCCCTCGCGCCACCAGGGAGGCCGGATCCCACTGCTGTGAATCACCCAAGGAAACACCTCACCATTAGTCTCGGCCTGTGTGACCTGATGCCCCAGAATGCAGACTGTCTTTTGTGTCTGCTCTGAAGCAGCCCCGGGCCAGGCCTCCAGAGCACGAGGGCACAAGGCGAGCCAAGGCCTTGCTGGCAGATAATCCCCACATGCCCTGAAGAATGGCTTTGTGCTGCTTTAAGAATCATCCACAGATCGGAAAAAGAATGTTCTAATTGGAAAACCTCCCCGCCATGGTTTTCCGGAGTTTTAGTACAGTTGGCCGGCAGGAAGGCTCCTGGGATGAGGGGAAGGGAAGTCATGAGGAGAAGACAGCGGGCTCCCTGCCCAGCGCCCCCTCATCCCCCAGCTCCACTCCCGCTGGCGGCAGGGAGAGCCCAGGGCCCTGGCCTGTCAGCAGACTGGGGAGTCAGGAGGCGCTCTGGCCCTGCCAGGGCCCCTCCCCCTGCGGGGCCAGGCTTGGGGACCCTCTGGCAGGACTGCTGCCCACTGGGTCTTGTGAGCAAGCGGGAAAGCCAGAGTCAGTGTTGGGTCTGTGTGGGGTCCGCAGACCTAACTGGGGCTGCGGCTGCAAGACCTGGCAGGGGGATGCAGGCTGTGAGGGAAAGCCGACTTCTGAACAGCTTCCTGGGATCTGTGGGAGAGGGATGGAGGGAGGGAGCCTCACGCCACTCAGGGGCAGCTGAGCCTGGCTTGGCTAACGCACTGGCTGGGAAGGCTGAGGCCACGGTGACCGGGGGTCTGTCCAGCTGTGGAAGCTGCTGGTCTGTTCCTTTCAGTTAAGCATCACCCTTGCGCTTGGGAAATGCCCACTGGGGAAAGGAGAAGCTGTGGGTCCCTTCAGTCAGCACGGCCACAGTGCCCTTCAAGGGCTGTGTGCTTCTCTTGTCGCTTTCACTGCTTAGCTGTCTTCAGTTCTTGAAGGGGAGCAGCCTTTGCAAGGGCCGCGGGGTCCAGAAGCTGCCTCCTCCTCCAGCTCAGCACAACCTCGAGTCTTGTCAGCATGCACGGACAAAGGGGCGGCTCAGCCCAGCCTGCACCTGGCCGGGGCAGGTACGCTTGGCCCCAGCAACCTCTCCTGAGGGCTCCAAACTTGACCAGGTGGCTCTGGGCTCTCTGGGGTCCAGCCATCACCCCG